GTCAAAGGGAGATAAGAGGCAGTTTGGTCTGTGGTTACTTGGAGGAGAGTTCAGCTTACCCACAGATTTGAACTTGTTACTCCTTCAAAAACATTTTTGAACTATTTAATTTTTCAAAAGCTTTTTGCTTGTGTGGAATAAAACTTCAGTAATTTACTTTTGATCTACTGAAACATAGATGGGATGTACAGATCACTTTTTTATCTTCAAGTGGATTTTTGTTCCATCCTGATGATCAGAAGAGTGTTTGAGGGTTTCAGAGATGCTTCAGAACAACATTGAGTGTTTGAGCTTCTGGCCTTTTAGGTGATTGCAGTCACTTGATTTTCAGGAAGTGCTGCACCTGATGCATGCTCGCTCCCTTTGCAGACTACTTGCTGCTGCCTGTCTCTACATGTTTTCTCTGTGTGTGTTTCTGCTGCTTCTTTGTCCTCACTGTAAACAGATGTACTGAGAGACTCCTGCACTGATGTTTCATAGGAAAGTCCAAACAGTCTCACTGGTTCTCCATGAAGAACAAAGATTTGCTCTCTGTGGCTCCAACACAACTTAAAGACAATCAAAGGTTGACAAAGTTCTCCAGAAGAGCTGTGCAGGAGGTCATGACCTTTGACTTTATTCATTAGAACAAGTTTATTTGAATTTACTGAAAGAGTGGAAGGTTGTTGCTACACCTTGACCTATTTTCGTGTTCATTTCCTGTTACTGTAATACCCTTTGTCAATTGCATATGTGGTCAGATGTAGGTGTTTTGGTTTTGCTAAGCAGAAACATCTGAGACGTGTCTGTAAAACAGGATGTCAAAGCGAAACAAGAGACAGTTGGTTCAGCTTTGTGGTAGAGCTCACCTACAAAGTATTTTGTTCACAATTGATTGTGTTGAACAAACCTTAATCAGGTTCCTTTTAACCTACAGAAAGAGCAGATGGATTATACCAACCTCACACTTTTTATCTTTATATGGATTTTTGTTCCATCCTGATGATTAGAAGAGTGTTTGAGGGTTTAACAGATTTCTTAAGAACAACAGTAAGTGTTTGCTGTCTTTTTCTAAAAATCATATGAAGTCTTTTAGGTAAAAAGATTCAGTTTTTATAGTGGATGTTAACCGTGTAACGTTTGAAACATTACATCATTTCTAGAAAACTCCCATTTTATTGGTCCAAGATATCAAACGTCACTTCAACGTCACTTCCGTACGAGACGTTACACCGTTGAAGTGTGGAGTTGGACCGAGCGGCTGAACGACAGATCTGTTCTAACAGTCAGTGACTTTCAGCTTTATTTTAAACCTTAAATTTAAACTTGTGTCGTCAGATTTAAACTCAGGTTCAGTTATTCGGTGAAAATACCGACAGACTCAGATATTTAGGACAAACTAAGAGTCAGATCAGCAGCAGCAGAGA